AAAACGTACACACAACAAACTCCGGAGCCCATCCAAATAATCCTACTTGCCCCAGAGAATGGCTCCTTGCCAGATTGATGAAGATGCAGTATGAGCGCTCATCAAGAAAGCAGGAATGATCTCACTACAGAAAGAATTAGTGGGGCATTCACAAACTTAGAAATCTAAAGGACTCCAGTAACCAGGATCTAAAAGGATGTGATGTGACCTTATGATCAAATGTTAACGTCCCCACTAGCCTACGGGGTTCTTAGGGTCTAAGGCCTTACTTTAAAAAAAAAAAACCTACCCCCAGGACATAGCATATTTCTAGAACCTGGAATATAAGAAGCATTTCATGAATACTTGATGAGGAATAGTAGTGCCTAATCTCCCTGGAACAAAGCTGTTCCTCTTACTAGGGTATGCTTGTAAAATCAGAGCTTTCTAAAGTGTGGTCTGGAGACCTCTAGTGGTTGTCTGCAGTTCACATAAGGTCAAAATCTTAAGGATGACAGATGAGCAAAGAGCCAAATATCAGGACACAGGTTAAGGCCTGAGACGAGTGAAACAAGTGGGTGCTACAGTAGAGGAATAAACTAGAGAATTTTAAAAATGAAAGCCTTTTTAAAAGTATCTAAATTGTAAGATAAAAATGCAATCTTTTTCTTCCCAACAAACTGATGCCAAAAGAAAAAAAAAAGGCTATAATTTTACCTGAATGTGATACATATGAAGACAGCAATTGTTTCCTCATAATCAACTGTATTGCAAATTACAACAAATCTAGTTCATACCCCCATCACTACTTAGGTTTTCTTTTTTAATTTAATTAAACAAATGATTAGTATTTTAAAGCACATTGTTATTTGAGAGGTCATAATACAATTCAGGAAAGAAAATCACCCCTTTATAAATTCGACGCACAGAAAACATGAAGAAAACATTCTGTGTATATTAAAGACAGTCAACTCTCCAGGTCATCTGAGATCTCAGAGAAACCGCAGATCTCACTTTTGTAGAATGTTACTTATGCTGGAGAGACACCACTCTTTCAACATTATACTGGGAGTCTCACACTTAGGTGAAATGATCATCATTGTCAGTAGGCAATCTAATCTTACTGGACTCTGAAATCACCTTGCCTGGATTCATATCACAGTTCAACATCTTACTAACAGGATAAACTTGAGCAAGTTACTTAACCTTTATGTATTTCAGTTTCCTCCCTTATAGAAGATGAATAATAACAGTCTGCCTCAGAGCTTTAAAAGCAAATGTATTATACATCCAAAGAACTGAGCACAGTAAGGAGTCAACAAATGTTTATTACAATTAATGTGCTAAAAATGACCTAGTATGACTCACATAAGTCAACGAGGATTTGATTTCTTCAAAAAGAATTTAAAAGCGTATTTATTTTAGAAACAGCTTCCATGAGTCCACAATAAATGTCTTAAAATCCAACTTTTTCTCTTCGTTTATTAACTGAAAAATAATCACAATCAATTGAGATTATAAATATTTGAAATGCCCTAAAAATAAGTAGTTGCCACAGGAAAAATCATTAACTATAAATCCTACTCATCTAAGAAGTGGGGAGCATAAAGGAGAGACTTTTTTCTTTATAAAAGTATTTACAGTTTTGTAAACAGCTATGAACATAATTCCAGGTATGGACCCAATGTTCTAGCAAAAAAGGACCTTGTAAAAGAAAAAAATCATTTCTCTTATACATAAAGTTATTTGAAAGTCTATGATGTTTCTGAAGTTGTTTGGTCAACTTTACAGTCACAATAGGAGAGTTTAGATTAAATATGAGAATACATAGAGTTGCAAAGAGGGAGAGCTGAGATACCTGAAGAGAAGAAAAACGTGCTTTATTATGTGTATCAGAGAAAACATAAAAGTCCATATCCCTAAGACTTTCTCCTTCTCCTCAAATTTTGGGTGGAAAAACAAGTCATCTACCCAACTAGCTACTCAACCCATTAGATCTCTGAACAATACAATTCATGTAGACAACTCCTTGCTTCAAAGCAGAAAGTTCACCCTATAGAAAGTAAAAAATAAGTACAGCTTTTTATTTGAAAAAAGAACAACACCAGGAATACCAAGAGCAAAGTTTGGCAGAAAATTACTTTCTACGATGGCTGAAATATAACTATTTTTTATTTGGAACTCTACAGGTCAGTACTTGAGTCAATGGTTTTCTATTAATTCAGTTTATAGCTAATGTACTGAGAGATAATGATCTGAAATACTTGCACCCAAAATAGACTCGTAGTCTATTATTCCAGTTCCCTCTACAACCACTTTTTCACCCACCATACAAAGTTCTCCAGCGGAACCTGCATATTTGCAAAACGTTCTCCTAATGTTGACATTGCATTACAAATGACTGAGAAAAATTTCAGAAACGACTTGGAAAGAGAACAGAAGCATTTTTACTCATGTTTTCCTATTCAACTTATCTATATGTAAATGGTGATAATTAGTAACTGTTTCCTAAGACTTCAAAAAAGTGATTGGCACATATAGTCCTCAGCAAGATTTAAGGGACAAGGTATAATTTGAGAACATAAGGTATAACATAAAGTTTCCAAGAGTTCATGCCATAACATGACATATGACAAGAGATTCTCAAGAGTGAGCACCTTGGGAGAGAAATATTCTATTGCTCTCCATAAAAAATAGGAGCATGGTCCTCTGCAGTGGCTTTGAGCCTAGATGGAAACAAAATTATAAATTCCATCTATACCCCATTAATGGCTTCCCATATTCACCACCCCCATTCTCATTCATCTAGCCAATTTGAAAGATGAGATAAGAGTAAGAAAAGGGAAACTGAATGAGAATGAATTTCAACAGGTGAGGATGCAGCACATAAGTTATTTTCAGGAACTCATGCTATTTTATTTTTGAAAAAGTTAAGTGAACAGCCAAATGTTATGCTGTTCAAACTTCATAGAAAAATTTAAATTGGGAAAAAACCTTGACATTAATGAAAAAAGGTATATAATATTATAGTCATCAATGCTTATAAACACAATGACCCCATTTGACACATTTTTACTTCTCTCATTTTAGATCTCCACCAAACTCTAAGTCACATTCAATCATGGAAATGGCTTAATAATCAGGGGCTTAAAACTTGGAGTGTTTATTATGGAAGTGACCAGTATATAATCACTAATCATTACCACATAAAATTACAATCCTTTTCATTATCATGCAATGTTAAGTGGGAAATGTTCAAGAAAAATACTCTAGACATGTTTTCTTGCACAAATATTCCTGTTACAAACGTGTGTCAAAGACTACTATAAAACTAAAATTTATTTTTCTCATCTAAGTCATCACAGTGTTTAAAATTCTATTGTCTAACAATTGAAGTGTATACTTTGTCTAGATTCTCTCAGAAGAAAACCTGCATAACGGCAGTTTCTGAGACAAAAGGAATTTGAAATGACCTGGATATTAAATGACTCCAAAGAATTACAGCTTATGTATTAGGTGTGATAATGTCACAGGGTCATGTGAAAAGTGTTCATAATTTAAAAATATATATACCAAAGTATGACTAGGTGAAATGAGATTTGCTTTAAAATATTTTAGACAAGAATTGAATCTGACAATTCAAATAATTGACAATTTGACAATTACTGAATCTGAGTAATGAGTTTCTGAAGGTTCGTGTATTATTTTTGTATTCTTTTTCAGAGTTTTGTGTAAGTTTGAAATGTTTTGTAGTAATTTTTTAAATATTTAAAAGCATTATATTGTCTAGATATACTCATAAAGAACTCTGGCAGGCAAGGAAAAAACGTTTATATTTAAAATTTAAATTTTAAATTGAAGTGCAATATTTAAAATTTGAATTTTAAATTTAAAAACTGAAGTGCAAAAATTATGAAACTGACATTTTAAAATCTATTCTTTTATACAGAGAATCTGGATTTCATCTAATTTAAGAAAAAGCTTTAATGAAGACCCTATTAAAAGTCTGTATCAAATGAGGACTTACAATGCTTTATTCCAAAGCAACAAAATGCATATGTCCAAAAGATGTATAAAAACAGGCGTGCATTTAGCAAAAAAGAAAAGAAAAGCAGACTTTTCTCTGCTACAAATGTTTAAAACTCACAGTATAGTCTTTCTATCTCAAAGACTTAAAAATTATTTTCCTTCTTTAGGGAAAACCATATGATGAGAAAACAACTCGGCAACATGTCTGTGAATAATGCCTAGCAAAGCTTTAAAAAAAAAAAAAAAAAAAGAAAAAAAAAAGCTTCTAGCCAAAAAGACTAAGAGGGAAGAATGAACATTTTCAGAAGCATTTTGGAACCTTATTTCCAGCTGCCTTCGTGCTAAGCCCTCTTTTTCCTCCCAAAATACGTCACTTAACTGTCTGTCAAATAACTCTTGCCCATTCTACCTGATCACACTCTGAAGCTGCAGCTTTTCCTGCTTTCGCTTCTCAATGACAAGCTGTTCAAACAGAGAACACCTATCAAAACGAGTATCATCATCTGCTTTCTTTCTTCGTTTCAGGATATACTGCTGTCCATCAGGGGAAGTAATTAATGGGTTTATGTATGGAAGCGTCATCCCATCAGTTTACTGTCTGGTTTGAATAGCTCCCATCAGCTCTTCATTCATGCCAAGTACGTTTACCGGACAGAGACATGATAAAGCCATACCACCTTTTGGATTTTTACCTCACTATTCAAAAAACAGTGAACCAGAAGCATGGGTTACAAAAGCACAAGGAGGACAGAAGAAATGCCTTCATCCTCTACAGAAAGGAAGCTAATGAAATGAAAAGTTGGTAAGCAGAAAGGAAAGCAAGAGAGTACAAGAACATCCATGCTTCTAGTCCAGATAATGCGTTTTAAAACAGCTTGATTTGGAAGTGTGTGTAATTCTGAAATACGAACAAGCAGAACTTTTCCAGGAGGAAAATATACATACGAACAACCAGGATTTCTCATTGCTGAAGCATTCAATGAATCTTTAATAAGTTCTGAACACTCAAATTGTCTGTGGTCAGATCAACTGCTGTTATCAGATAAAGGCAAAACTCACCCTTCTGCTTCTATAATCCTATCCAAATAGAGTCTTCATGTAGCGCGTACTATCCTAACTAATGCTACAGGATTATCAGGAATACAGATATAAAGACACTTAAAGAAATAAAACACTGGCAAAAGAAAACATGAAAGGAAAGTAGAGAATTAATTTCAGGTCTCGAAGCTTACTATTTCCAGCCAGAGTTCAAATTACTGAGCTTCAAACAAACCACTGCCAGGTAAGATTTAATTTTATAACCTTAATTTATATCTTGTCTACTGGAATTAAATCTGCTCGTGCTGTGAATGAACTAGTGGATTTGAATTTCATGCAACCCTTTCCTTAAGCTTTTGCAGATTTAAGCTGAGGTAAACACTTGTTTTTACTTATGCTGCATAAACAAGTCACTCATAGATAATAAAGCATCTAAAACTCCCGTTCATTTTTCATTGAATTTGTCTCATCTTTGTCTTTTTCATCCCAATTTTGTTTTATTTAATAGCTTGAAAACAATGCATGAAGAGAGCCCTGAATGGTGCATAAGGGCCATTCACAGACATTGTTTACCAACAATATTCAAATGAACTTTGCTTCCTAGAGTACTTGATGAGAGAAGGAAAAATTAATAAGTATTTTAAATATTTCTCTTCATACAAAGGAACAAAAGCTCAATGACTGATTTCTATTGTTAGCAAGAAAAAAGCTGTGATGTCATTTCATTCATACTAAAGAAAAATAATCTCTACTAAATCAAGATATATAACACTCTTGTAGGATGGGGCTAATTTATCCTGAAGATACCAGACAATTTTATAATAGACTAAATGAAGACATTTTTCTGATTTAACAAGAGGACAAAAGGATAAAAGATGTCTGGTACCTTAACACCTCAAAGCTTTGACTCAGGTCAGTGGTCCAAACTGTAAAATGCTGAGCACTAGTGAAGCCATCAGAGAATTTTAAAAGATACAGTGCCTTTTAGAAATTCCCTAGAAATCACTGCATAATGAGACTTCTAGAGAGACAATCTTATGTAAAAACAACAGAAAGGAATCATCTGATTTTCTTCATCTGATATTTTAATTTCCTACATAGATATTTTTAGCAGAAATCCCAACCACATTGGTTTTCATATAAGTTTCTTTGCAAAAGTGAGGTCCAAAGCACCTTATCGTAAAGAAGCCCTACAACAAATAATCCTATTTCTATTATCTTAGAAGGGAGGAGACAGGGAAACAAGAGCAAATCACACCTAACTATGGAGATCTTGTGATAATACACATCAGGTTATCAGAAGTAAGTATTCAATACTTGTCTAAAAGTAGTCAAATTTGAAACTGTCTTCCATTTCACTGAATTCTTTTGTCAAATTTTAGTTAATTAAGGGAGTAAATTATATGATCCCTTCAAGCTTTCCAAGACAGTCTATAAACAACCTTAAATATCATAAGTCTTTTACATCTGAAGTCACTACAGAAACTTACCTGTCATTTTCCAGTAACAAAGGAAAACAGCAATTTAATACAAGTAGTGATTATCTAATATACCAATGTGTTTCAGAGAAAAAAGTGTGTATTTAGAAATCTCAAAAGACTTCATACGTACACCAGACATAACTAAAAGTTAAGTTGCTGTTGTTGTTCATCTACACTAAGAAATAGCTGAACCCTTAAGCGTTCTTTCATCTCTTTCCTCCTTATTATATTACAGTTTGTAAACAGTCATGATTCAAAAATATGTAGATATTTTAAATGAAGAACACTAATCAATATTTTAAATTGTAATTAAAGATTTTTAATTAATTTGGACACAAGTATGAAATTTATATTATGCTCAAACAATTTGCTTCCAATAAACAGAATTAAGGGGTGGAAATAACAATATTCCTTAAGTGTTCTGGATTTTATTTACTCATTGTAATGTAAACAGAGACTCACAACCCACTACTCTGGGGGCTTTCTTTCTATAACTCACCTTCTAATGACAATGGATGGGCAAATGAATACTACCTCACTCCACCCCAGTTTGGTCCTTGTCAGCATCAATGCCAGTGAATTTTCATTTTCTTTCCTATCCAAGTCAAGGCTCTGCTCTATAACAACCCATTTAGAAAAGTGATTGTTGAAGTTTCAACAACAGCTTTCAAAAAAAATACCCTACAGCAATTTGGAATAATCGATATTTTCTTCACATAGGGTGAAAAAAAAAAATTGAAAACTGCTTCAACTTTACATCTCACAGGTACAAATGGATAAGAGATTTTACACTAGTACCCGAAGATTTGGTTATTTACAGGAATTTTTCTCTGGTATTGATAGATTTAACAAAGAGATTCTAAACAGTCCTGGAATGCAGTCAATGACTATTTGTTTCTGCAATTTAGAATGTACTTCATTCACACATATTATATAAAAGTATTGTATTGTAAAAGTAATGTGATTGTGTATTATTGGTTTCTTTCATAGAAATGGAGCAAATATTTTGGCTGCCATATTCTTACAATGATACCTATTACTAGATCCTTAAAGTCTGGTCATTGTAAAGTATCCGAAAGCTGTAAGATTTTATTTAAACCATGATAAAATAAAAATAGGCATACAGGACAAAATGAACACATCTATTTTGTGTCTGCTGACATAACAATCTTACAAGTAATTTTTGTCTGAAATACCAATTTTATATACAAAATATACAACTTTGTACATAAAATTAGAAACATACCTAAAGTCCATTTTTGTGTGTTAGCATTTAACTTAAAGGGACTGATATTACATAATATTTTTAAATGCATTAAATGTATATTTACTTATGTCTATATTATTATAACTTTAAGTTTTCATAAGGAATTTTTTTCATTCCATGATAATGGCACAGTGTTGCAAGCCTAATTCAACCGGGCATTTTAACTAGCCAATATATTTGTTCCTTATTAGGGTTAATTTTCTTTATGAAGTGACCAAATTTGAACAAGAATGTAGTTCACCATGAAGATGCATCTCCTCTCCAGCTTCTTCCTGCTGAGAGAGAACAGTCTTCGGTTTGTGACATCACAATCTGTGACTGGGAAAGTGGCTCTGATATCAAATAGATGATTATATCCTTTCAGTGTGAACTAGCTGAAAGAGAGATGTAAGCACTATTATTTCAAGTCATATGACCAAGACACTAAAGAGATGCATGACAGGAACTGAATTAGAGAAAGATGCTTTTATTCCATTTGTCACTTTTTCAGCATCAACTATTGAAGATAAAAGTACCATCTCACAGTTGTCTTCATTAATAATTTGAAAGTGGGAGTAAACATCATGTTGGTTAAATTCACAGACCAAAATAAAATGGGAATAAGGAAAATACCAATAAGCAAGCAGACAGTCATGAAAGAGGCCCCTAGAGAACTGAGGAAAAAATGCAAAATTTCACCTTAGTTCAAACAGAAATACTGATGTTACTCGGAAAATTGAAAAATTACCAAAACACCCAAAATGGGAAAGACGGTCTCTTTGAATGAGAAAGAGATCCCTAAATATAGATTATAAAGTGATTCCATGACATAGATTAATTAGCATCTGACACATGGACTAGTATAAGGGCAGGGAGGAGGCTGGTTAACACCTTTCTAAGAAACCATGAATTTGTTGAGGAAAAAAAAAAAACTACTGTGTTCTGTGAAAGTCTTCAATGAATATTTGTAAAAAATAAATAAAAATAAATCAGGAGTTAGGGTTTAATAAAGGAAACAAAAATGAGTGCTCCTCTTACAAACATATAGGCATATACAGGCCTCTTTTTGTAATCTTTGCTTGCAACTGTAGCCAAAGGACAAAAGAGACCAACAAATCCTTCCACATTGAACACATGTGCAGTCTGTCCTTTGATTAGTGGCAATACCCTCATTCAAAGTATCAGTTATTTGTGACCGACCCTCCTAGACTCAGAGCCAATACAAAGATGATGTGTAAAAAATACAGTAACAACTCTACACATAATTACAAGTCAAGCTGAAGTTTCATCATTTATAGTTACACAGATTGCTTGATCCAGTGCTATGTAGAGAATTCTTATCAATTGGTTCATTACAGCCAACTGGATTATTCAACAGTTGTTTAAAGATGCTGACATTCTCCATTTTTCATATTGAAATTATTAGTGAAATAACTCAATATGGACCAATCAGAAAACATTACTTTTATAGACATATTGGTTGATGTCACACTGTTGTTGTCATCTTCAGACTATGTGGGCCTTCTTATTTCCTGATTATCACTATAGAAATGTAGCACTGAATAATGTGTTCTTTAAGAAGCAAAAGCTAGAGATGATTTCCAGTTCAGGTATCAACTAAAAATCCTTAGCTATTTATAGAATTTTTTGGTACAGTAACCTCGAAAGCTGTTGGTGTACATCTATCAGGCTCAGTATATAACATGATACAATTCTTAACACTTAATATTTTATCAATTGTATACCTTCCTTTCATATGTGTTGCAAAGACACAGCCCTCTACTGCAGTATCTTGTGCGTAACTTGTGGTAATACCAACAGAAGAGCTTTTCATGCCTAGGAACTTCCACAACACTTTGAGGATACTTCTTTTATAACACCTTGTTAGATTGCACCGAAAACCTATTTATGGCCAATCATAGTGAGTCATACCTGTAATCCCAGGTATTTCAAACAGAAATACTGATGCTACTCGGAAAATTGAAAAATTACCAAAACACCCAAAATGGGAAAGACGGTCTCTTTGAATGAGAAAGAGATCTCTAAATATAGATTATAAAGTGATTCCATGACATAGATTAATTAGTATCTGACACATGGACTAGTATAAGGGCAGGGAGGGGGTTGGTTAACACCTTTCTAAGAAAGTGCTTTGGGAGGCCAAAGCAGGAGGATTGCTTGAGGCCAGGAGTTCGAGACCCACCTAGGCAACACAGCAGGACTCAACCTCTATAAAAAATTTAAAAGTTAAAAAAAAATAAAATCTATTTAATACAGTTGTATCACATATGAAATTGCATTTTTCATGGTTGAGGGCCTTAAGAATAAAGGCCATACCTAATTTATCTGTCTATTCCCAAGGAAAGTTCAGCAGTAGTTAATCAATAGATGTGTTAAATGCATGTGAACATGTATCTTAATACATTCTCAGGTACAATCTCAAACAGGCAGAAGACTAGTGATCCTAAAATATACCTCAGCTACATTTCACTGATAATGGGCAAGTAGGTAACTCAG